GTTCAGGTTGGGTTTTTTGCTTCTGTTCAATATGTGACACTTCCTTTTCTCTTATTCCTTCTTATCTTTTCACTTCTTTTCTTTTTCCTTTTTAAAAAAAGTTTTTTTTACTTTATTTATTTTTTCTTTTCTTTTCTTTTTTTTGAGGAAGATTAACCCTAAGCTAACATGTGCCACCAATCCTCCTCTTTTTGCTGAGGAAGACTGGCCCTGAGCTAACATCTATGCCTATCTTCCTCTACTTTATATGTGGGATGCCACCACAGCATGGCTTGACAAGCGGTGCCATGTCTGTACCCGGGATCTGAACCAGTGAACCCTGGCCTGCTGACGTGGAACACACAAACTTAACTGCTGTGCCACCAGACTGGCCCTTCTTTTTTACTTTAAATATTTTCCCCTTTCACCTTATATTTCTCTTGAGGCATTAACTGTTAAAAGTTTATTTTGTGTTCCTTCTCGTTTAGTCTTCAGTTTCATTTTGGAATTAGAAACACTCAGACATACGCTATTCTTCGTGTCTCGTTACAGTTTTCTTCTTGCTCCATATCTCAGTGCATTTTGAACTGGAAGCTAGCAGCCTGGCTGTGTTCTCTGGGCACTTGTCTGGCGTGCTGTCATGGGTGATTGTTTTCCTCTTGTAATAACTTCGTATGGGATTTGACCTTTGGTTTCTATTGTTTGTCGTGAGTTTCTTGGGCTGTTAGACGGCCACATGGTGCAGAGCGGATTTTCTAACTTCTGAATGTTTCCTCTTTTCTGTGTAATTGTGTTGGCTTGCTCTCTAAGTTTTCCCGGCTCTGTTCTTTTCCCTGACCATGGACCTTTTTTCCCTTTCCTGTAGATGTGGCTCAGTTTTGATTCTACTCCTAGTAGTGTCTCCTGATGGGAGCTGGTTGATTTCAAGAGTTTGTGATGGTTACCCCAGTCTCTTAAACCCTTTCTGCAGTGCTGGCACGCTGCTTGCTCTTGCAGTCATCAGAACCCTGTAGTGCTGGCTGCTGTTCTCAAATCGGCCCACCTTACTTTCCAGTGAGTACCTCTTGGCTACTTTGGGGTTTTCCTGTTCTTAGACCAGTCAGACACCCCATGGCTTGCCTCTGTTTACTTCATGTGGCACAAATTGATACGTGCAGATATGGTATCTGTTGGTGGTTTTTCTTCACGTATTTGTATTTTGAGGTTTGTGAGGATACTTTGTTGCCTAATTTTGTTATATATCGTTGTCCATGGGATTTTGGTTTTGCTTTAAATTTGCAAGAGTAGTGTAGATAACTCTCATAGACCCTTTACCAGATTTTTAACATGGTGCCACTTTTGCTCTGTCATATTCTTTTTTCTGTATTTTTGTGTCTATATACACACATTTATGGTTCTGAGCCATTTGAAAGTTTATTAAATACATTTTTGCCTTTTACCCTTTAAGTGTGTATTTCCTAAGAACCAGGATGTTCCATTATACAAACACGGTTCCATTATCAAATTTTGTAAATCTAACATTGCTACAATGTTCCCTACAGTTCATGTTCCAATTTTGTCAGTGTGGAATTTTCACTTACTTCAATAGTGTCAACTACCCTAGTAATGTCCTTTTTAGCACGTTTTCCCTTTCAGTATAGAATCATCATATGTGCCATTTGTTTGACATGTCTCTTTAGTCTCCATTAATCTGGAGCAGTTCTCAGCCTTTCTTTGTCTTCCATTATATTGGCAAATTTGAAGAAATGCAGGCCAGTTATTCTATAAAATATTCTTCAGTTTGAGTTTGTCTGATGTTTTCCTCATGATTAGATTCAGGTTATAGATCTCTCATTGGAATACTATGTAACTGACACTGAGTATTTCTCAGAGTACCACAAGGGAGTCACATGATGTCTATCTACCCCTCATTGAGGATGTTGCATTTGATCGTTCAGTCCAAGTTTTGCCCGTTTCCTCTAATTTATTTTTACTATGTTTCAACTAGCAGAGAAAAAATAATCTTTGTGGAGACGCTTTGAGATCATGTATAAATAGCCTGCTCCTCCTCCTGGAAATTTCCCCCATAGAATTAGCATTCGTTCATGATTCTTGTTGGCACTTATCTTTACTGTGCTGCATGTGAAATAAAGATCTTCTAGCTCCACTGCTTCCCTCTTAGTCTTTTTTTATCATTGCTGTATTAGTGTATTTTTAAAAGTTTACCCTTGCTAGTGATCTAAGCAATAAAAAGTAAACCAAATCAGACCATTTTTCATTGTTTAAATTCACTTTTTGTTTTAAGTTGGGAAATTTTGAGGAAGCAGGCTCATCTACACTGCTGGTGGAATATAAATCTTTGCAGCCTTTATGCAGAGTATTTTTGAGCAGATGGTGTGAAACTGCTTTTAACATTTTTCTAGACATTTCTTTGGTTCCCTGGTTTCACATCTTTGTATTTATTCTAAGAAAGCTATCATGGATTTGTATACAAATGTACATGTAAGAGTGGATCTTCGTAGTGTTTAGGTAGTAATGAAAAATCTGTAGAGTAAGTAAAATGCAGGACCTATCCAGTGGAATTGTTATGTAGCCAATAAACGCTATGATATCAATACTCACACATTGTGTGTGTGTCTGCCTACAAAGTAGTATGTTTCGTATTCTGTTTTTGACATCACAGAAAAATACGTAAGTGGCAAATAAGTAGTTTTGGTACTAGAAGATTACGTTATGGGTCATTGGAATTTTTTGTGGGGTGTGTGAAAATTTTGTAATTTAAGGAAATTTAATGGGAAGCGATGAGCGTTAGTATGTTTGGATTGGAGCAAGGCTGAATGAATATGAGTAACATAGAATTTTTAGGTTTGAGACTCTGGGAGTTGAAGGTATTGGTATTAGGGAAATGGGGCAAAAATTAATCGTAGGCGTTCAGCACCAGAGGCATCAATGGTTTACTTTCATTCCTGAAAGGTTGCCTTTACCCAAAACCCAAATGTGTCATGTGGAAGTGTCCTCTGGTCCTTTGTTTTTCCCTTTCACTCAGTGAGTTCACGCCTCTGGTCCTTTGGCGCAGTGCTGGGACTTGTCAGTCGGTTATGGGTCAGAGGAATGAGTGTCTGATGTGCATGCAGGTGTAGTGAGAGTGTAGGTAGGGCCCTTGTGGATACTGGGGAGGATTGAGGTAAAATTTGCAGCACGTACACACACTGAGTTTCTGTACAGAGATCTTTCTGGTGTATCTGCAGCAGGTAAACTGAGGCCACAGCAGGCCTAGGCTAGGGTGACAGGATTGGCAATTAGATTGGAGGGAACAGGCCAAAGTTGGCTGGAGCTGGTACAATCAGCCACCCACATGGACCGGGAAGCCCTTGGGAAAAGTGTTTTTACGATGCCAAAAATACTAACAGAACTGCCCCACTCTCCTTCCTCAGGCGAGATTCTTTGAAATGAATGTGTGTTAAAAATTGTTTATTATTAGATCCTTTGTAGGTTTTTTTTTCTAGGATCGTTCAATAATTTAAGCTGTTTAACTTTTTAAATATTGATGTTGCGAGTTAGTATAGATTTTAGCTAACAAGGGTCACTTTTGCAATAAACTAATTTGGAGTAATTGTAGATTTACCAGAAAGTTGCACAGAGGTCGAACAGATGTTCCTGTATGCTCCTCACCTACTTTCCCTGTTGTCGTAGTCATGGTACCTTTGTCAAAGCTAAGAAACCAAATTGATAGATTACTATTAACACTGCAGAAAAGAGTAACTTTTTTTTATGCCTAATTTTTTGTTGCCAAAAATATCACAAAAGGAAACCTCAAAAATTCAGTAATTTGTTTTTTTTAAAAGGATTTTGAGTGAAAAAAGCAACTGGAAAGGAGTTTTCTGCAGAGGTGACTAGTGCTTGAAAGTTTCTTTTTTACAAATTTTGTTAAAACTGTTGTTTTTATTGTGGTTAAAAACAATTTTATTTAGATACATACAGCCTTTTCTCTTAAACTGACGTTTGTGCCAGTCTTCCTGTACTTTATGTGGGATGCTGCCACAGTGTGGCTTTGCAAGCGGTGGTAGGTCTGTGCCTGGGATGCGAACCTGCAAACCCCTGGCTACCAAAGTGGAGCACGTGAACTTAACCACTATGCCACTGGGCCGGCCCCTAGAATACCTTTTTAGGGTTGACAGCAGACCTTTTTTGCTTTTTGACAGCAAGGATGGTTCTAAGCTTATGTTGTGGCAGTTTCCACCCCTTCCTGTTCTTCCACTATTTGTTTTGTTTTGAGGAAGATTAGCCCTGAGCAAACATCTGCCACCAATCCTCCTCTTTTTGCTGAGGAAGACTGGCCCTGAACTAACATCTGTGCCCATCTTCTACTTTATGTGTGGGACGCCTGCCGCAGCACGGCTTGCCAAATGGTGCCATGTCCGTACCCGGGATCCCAACCAGCGAACCCCGGGCTGCCGAAGTGGAACGTGCAAACCTAACTGCTGAGCCACCAGGCCGGCCCCTCTTGCACTTTTTCTTGTACTTTTTACTCCATCTCCCCGAGGGAAGGAAAATTCAAATGAGTCACATGGCCAAGGAAGATGAACAATAACTTTAGGTCACTTGGCCAAAGGATGGGACCTTGTTGAGGTCTTTAAGAATATAGTTAATCATGGGGCGAGCCCCGTGGCCAAGTGGTTAAGTTTGCACATTCTGCTGCGGTGGCCCAGGGTTTTGCTGGTTGCGATCCTAGGCATGGACATGGCACCGCTCATCAGGCCACACTGGGGCAGCGTCCCCACATGTCACAACTAGAAGGACCCACAACTAAAAATATACAACTGTGTCCTGGGGGGATTTGGGGAGGAAGCAGCAGAAAAAAAAAGATTGGCAACAGTTGTTAGCTCAGGTGCCAATCTTAAAAAAAAAAGGATGTAGTTAACCAATATGTCTATTACCATAGTGCTGTTTTACTTCAGAGTGTTTATCTGTTTGCACCAGATTTTGGCATCTAACTTATATTTTTGATGCTCAAATCTTTAACAGTCGTGTGTGCTTTCCAGGCAACAGCTGAACAGATGCGTCTCGCTCAAGTGATCTTCGATAAAAATGATTCAGAGTTTGAAGCTAAAGTGAAACAGGTATGTTCTGGCAAAGGATACTGTCCTTTTTTGTAATCTATTCTTATTTGCTTAGAAAGACAATTTCATTAGAGATTTTAATTTTAAAGTATGCTTCTTGCTTTTTCTCAACTAATTGGTTTTAGCTTGTGATTAAATGCCTGTATTGGTGACTAGAATGAAGGAATTGAATATGTTCATCCTCGTGGCAGTAGAATCTTTCTGAGTTACTAGTGTTACATGTGAACCATGAGCTAGACATTTGTGAAAACACATTGACGTTGTCTGTACCTGTGTATAGAAAGTATACTTAGTGTTTGGCAAGTTCTCAGAAAATTTTGTTTAATGTTAAGGAAGAGCTGAATTGCCTTTTCATACGTGGTGGTGATGCCAAACATTGGAAAACTAGGAAAATTAAATCGTACAATGATGTCTTCATTTAGGATTTTAATGAGAGGCCTTTTTGATAACTTAATATTAATTTCAAATCCTTCTTTCCTCATAAGACTTCTTTTCTCTTCAAGATTCTAGAAACCAAGCTATAACCCTTAACCTTGGTCCAACTTTTGGTAGAGGTCTGCCAGTACGTGTTCCTTGGAGCGAATGTCCCACAGTGAACTCTCTAGCCCTTTACTATGTAAACTCTTTGTTCTTACTTATAGTGGCTGTCATCAGGCTAATGGTAATATTTTTGGAAGGCCATGAAAAGGATTTATTAAAATTATAGAACTCATTCTCTGGAATGAGGTTTATGTACAGCGTGAGACATACTTTTACATGTTATACTACCTTTTATCTAAACAACGTAGCAGATACACAAGAAAGAACACTGGTTGTGGAGTTCAGAGTTTAAAATTTTTACTTTAGTTCTTTCTCTTACTAATCCAGTCACCAGGGGAATTTTGATGCTTACTGTGCATCTTAACAATTGCATTTGACAAGTATTGGGTTAGTATAGATCATTGATAAAAACCTGACATTATTAGTAGATATCCAAAGACCAAAGCACTGGAAAGCTGAAGAGTGTGTAGAACGTTGGCTGCGTAACACAGGGAAGAAAACAGAGACAGAACGGTGAAGAGCAACGAGCTGTTTTCATGAGATCAGGAGACCCGGATTCCAAACGGGCTTTGCTGTTAATTTGTTTTTTGACCACAGACAAATCAATTCAAGTATTGGGGTCAAACCATGTTGCAGTGCAGCTAGTACATACTAAAGTAGTTACATGTAGTTAAAACACAGCGGATACGTAAATCATACATTTATTCACTGATCATTGAGAAACTTGTATTGTGCCTAATCTGTGATTGTTTCTTGTGATGAAAATGTTAAGTAGCTTATTTTTCCTTGTTAAAGAGAATGCACTGAGGAGATTTCTTTGATTACTTCAAACATAGCACCCTATTGAAGCTGCTCGAGAAAAGGTCTAGGAGTGTGTTTGTGATAGCTGCAGAATTCCACTCATGAGCCCTGAGGTGTTAAAACGTATTACGTATGTGGAGTGTTCTAATCCAAGCAGTGGTAGCCCAGGTAGGGAACGTTGTCCTGTGCAAAACAGTTGGATGGGATGTTCTGTTAATGGCAGCCACATACACTTGGTCTTTGGGAAACATATAGTCCCATTTAATAATATGTGAGTAGTTCAGAATTTTGGGACTCCCAGGCCACTGAACTAAGTTTGAGCAGTCTGATAGCCAATCTTGAGTATTCTGAGAATGTTGGTATATACATGTGTGTGTTGCTGATTAATAGTCTGATACTTCGTCAGCTTGGAGAAGGGTTGATTTGTAGTTTGACTCTGCCGGGATTGGTGAAAAGACATGGGGTGGCTACAAAAAACAGATAAACCTGTTTGTTCTTGAATTGTAAGCTCAGCATCTGGAAGAGGCCATCTTCATGTGGGAGGATTGCATAATTTCTGTCTTATATAGAAGAACCTCAAAATTAATATCGAGTGCCATTTCTGGGTCCCCCTAACGATTTTCTTATAATTTCAACAGCTTATGGAAGTGACAGGAAAAAATCAGGATGAATGCATAGTGGCCCTTCATGACTGTAATGGAGATGTGAACAAAGCTATTAATATATTGCTGGAAGGGAATTCAGACACGGTAAGTATTATTAATAGATTTGCAGTGCTAAGATTTGTCTCCAATTCCATACTGCATTTTCAGCTTCACCTTATTTGGGGTAGCGTGGTGGGTGGTGGTGGAGGGGATTATGGCTGCAATTCCATATTTGTTTTAAGACCAGAAAGAACACGAACCTGAAATTATTGTTTTTGTTATATATGGTTTTTTCATGAAGTCATAGAATCTGAAGACTCAAAAGAGAACTTGGTCATCTGCTCCAGCCTTACATAGTTTCCAAAATTCTCCGGACATGTCGACATTTTTACCACCTGAAAAACTTCTCTTGGCTCCGCTGCTTTTTATTCTATTCATCTTTTATTTTATTTTATTTTTTTAAAGATTTTACTTTTCCTTTTTCTCCCCAAAGCCCCCCTGTACATAGTTGTATATTTTTTAGTTGTTGGTCCTTCTGATTGTGGCATGTGGGACACTGCCTCAGCATGGCTTGAGGGCCACCAAAGTGGAGTGTGTGAACTTAACCACTCTACCACGGGGCTGGCCCCAAACCTCAAATTTTATTTGTGTACTGTTAAAAGTTTTTACATGGTTTCTTTGGATAACTGAATAGGGAAAGTTGTATTCCTGAGATTTTAGGGCGTCATTTTGTGTAATTTTGTAGTCTTTGAGCTAATTGGTGTATTAACAGGTTGAAGGCTTACTACTGAGGTAGGTGGGGGTGGCAGAGAGTGGGAACTTGGGGAAATGGCATTTACTTTATTCTTAGATCAACATAGGAAAAGCCTCTTTGGTGGGACAGCATATAGTGTATGTCATTCAGCTAGTTGCTGTAATCTTTTGTGCTCTATATAGCAACAGGAGCTTAGCAAGTGGTTTGCTGTCTTTATCATCAGAAAGTAGAACTCTATGGAAAAGAATTAAAATGGTAGGGAGCAAGCATAGGTAATTAGGTTTGAAAGATACATGCACACACCCTTGGTATTTGTACACACTTTGAATGACAACTCTTATCTTTGATAGACTTCATGGGAGACTGTAGGAGGGAAGAAGAAGAATTTCGGAAAAGAAAGTTCAGAAAACAAAGAAAATAGAGAGAAGAGAAGTGAGAGAGAAGTGAATCGTGGACGTGGAAACAACAACCGGAAAGGAAGAGTTGGCAATCGTGGGAGAGAATGTAAGCACAGACCTTTATCCTCAACTTCGTATTATGAAAATTGTCATGCATACTGAAAAGCTGAAAGAGTGGTCCAACGAATGCCCGTAAATTCAGTTTCTCAATGCAGCATTTGTTATTATAGTTAACACTTAGTACTGAGCTACAACTACGCAGTTCCTTAGCATCCTAACTGATGCAGTTTCATATCAGCACCGACCTGGGCAGTTGTGCGTCTTAAGACTGCCTGCTGTTATGAATCAAGTGCATGTCTAATTTTAAGGGAGGTTTTTCATTTATTAACAGACGAAGCTGTTTATTCTTCCCCACTTACAGTGACTTACTGTACAGACGAGGGTTGGATCGAGAGGAAGGGTTGTTGAATAGAGAAGACTTGTGCAGTACTTTCCCTTTGACCCAGATTTTGGCATCATTCACCCAAAACAACACTCACTACCTGCTGTGCAGACATACCAAAGTAGATAAATTGTAAATGAATAAAATGGAAATATTTAACGTATCACCTTAGAGACTTCCGCTGGTTTATTTATTTATTCCACAGATATTTCTTGAGTACCTACCATGTAGCATGTACTCTTAGAGGCATACAGCAATGGATACAATAGGTAGAAATCTTTGCCCTCCTAAAACTTAGCTTTTAATGGAGATAGAGTGAGATGTAACAATAAAAAAGAGAGTGTATTTCATATTAATATTATAATATTTTAATGGTGTTATGTAGAAATTATGCTATTGGGAAGAACAAAGGCAGAAAGATAGGGATTATAGGGAGAGGTTTGGCAAATTTAAATGGAGTGGCCAAGGAAGGCTTCACTGACGATTTGTGGGAGGAAAGCCCTGAAAGAGGTGAGGGGAGCAAGCTATGCCACTAATGCTCAGAAAATTTATGTATTATATAATTAATACCAACATAGGGATGAGGAGAAGAAAAGACTGTGTTGGCATCTTGTGGACAGCATCCTGGAAATACCTGTCTTGCACACTAATTTTTCCAGCAACTTCATATTTCCTTGGTATTGCTGTTCTGCTATTCTATACCTTTCCAGGCTTTGAGCCTAAGCAATGAGCACATTTTGGGGTGCCTTACATAGTTGCATAACAAGGGGGGTTTTCTGAAGCAAACTTACTTTAAGGGAGGGCAAATCTAAATAGAAGAAAGAAGTGGCATATCATTGTGATTTCTTCTCAGAATTTTCACCTATGAATTAAGCAAGATGTGCTGTCGTTCAGTTTTTGGGCCACTCTTACTTATTTTTTTTTCCCCGTTTTTCGAACCCTGTGGTTAAATTTTAGTCTTTAAAAAAAACCTTTTTGTCCTCGTCTCTAGTAGCTGTCTGGTATGATTATGTACAAGGGGTGCTCTTTTCTTTCTTAGTTAGAGGCGAAGAGAATGGAATCGATTGCAATCAAGGGGACAAGCCTTCAGACCGTGGCAAGCGAGCCCGTGGTAGAGGTAAGAGGGTAGGAGGAGGGAGTTGCCTGTGACCAGAAGGAGAGGTGGGCTGTTGCTATTCTGACCTTTGGCTAAGGTGTGGCATGGTGCTCTGAAAGAAGGGTCATCTTCTGAAATCTTCTGATTTGTTTACTGCTGCTTATGCATGCAGTGTTTGTGTTATGTAATTTTGAGGAAGCCTATTGGTTGTTTTCATATGAGCTGGGAAGGTCCTTTAAACGAATAATTTAAACTTGAAGCTCTGACCAAAATGTCATTATTAAATTCTCCTGTGTTGGACTGTAACAGCTGTGTTTTACCCAGGTGATACTGGTTTTAAAATTCAAATTATTTACCTATTGATTCCCCTCTGCCCTGTTTTCTGTTAGTAATCATTTCTTAACATTTATTAATTTGAGATATCATTAAACCACTTCAGGAATGTGGTTTCGCATTCTTAGAGTGGTGACCGAATTTTCTCAGAGTTATAAAATCAAGACACATGATGTAATGATGTGCAGGCCTTGTTTTGGTTCAGTGGAGAAGCTGCCTGAGTTGATGGACGTTTTGTTTGATCTGTTCTTCAATGCTCTTGTGGCTGTTCTCCAAACGAGCATTTCATTTGATCAGAAATACTAGTAAGTGTAGAAATAATGTAGGTAGTACATGTACGACTAACTCCCTTGGCTGTTCATTCACCCAACTATCATTTACTAAACTTCTATATGGACCAAACGTAAATGATTTCCAGAGATCAGAAGAGGGCAACATTGTGTACTAATTTGCCAGGCACAGTCAAAGATTGGAATTATCTAACAAATTTTAATTATAATTCCCTTTTCTAGACTTTTTTTTATTATGATCAGTTTCAAGCATAGACAAAAGTGGAGAGAACAAAGGGGAACCCCACGTCCCCTCACTCAACACCACTTAAGGATTTTAGCCATGTTTGCTTTCTTATGTCTATTTCCTTCCTTCCTTTCTTCTCTGCAGAAATATTTTAAAGTAGATTTTTTTGGTCGCTTCACCCCTAATTACTTTGGTAAGCACCTTTGAAAAATGTAGACACTTTCACCTGTAGCCATAATGCTATTTTCACACCTAAAAGTATCACAGTAAACTTTTATTATCTAATACTCAGTTCATACATAGATTTCCCTGATTATTTAAAAAATGTCTTGTTGTAGTTGATTTCTTTGAATCAAGATCCAGACAAGATTTATACAGTACATATTTTGATTCTCTTTAATCTACAGTAGATATTCTCCACCTTGTTTTGTACCTCCTTTTTCTCCTTACCATCGATTTATTGTCAGAACCATGTCGTTTGTCCTATAGGATGCCACATTTCACATTCTGCATTTGTCTCTTTGTTCCTTGTGGTGCCATTTAGCTTATTGCTCTAGCCTCGTGTTTACTGTAAATGTAAGTTAGCCTAAAAGATGAGCTTCAGGCTCAGTTTTTTAGGTAAGCATGGGTAGTGTTGTGTGTTCTATATTGCATCGCATTAGAAGGAACTTTTATAAAGTCTTCCTTTTTATTTTTTAGTGACGTCTAGTAAGTGTAGAAATCAATGAGTTGTTCATTTTTGGTGAGTTTATTTATCAGTGGATTTTAGGTTGACTGCAATTCTTAACATAATCCTTACCTTGGTTTTTATAGTTCAGTTTTTAAAAGACTTCTCTCAGAATTCAAGAAGAGGACCGCAACATATGTCAATCCGCGTTGTGATTCTCTTTGTGCCGAGAGCAGTCTGCTTGGGGAGCGCTGGACTCTGCTTTGTCTCCAATGTCGAGGGCTGTAGCTAGTTCTGCCAGTACTTTTTTGGTGAAATGAGTTTCGTGATGTTTACCTGAGTCTTTAGAATTACCTGTTTATGGAGTGTTTTTCTTTCTGTGAGGTGGACGAAAATGGAACAAATAATAATAGCTAACATGTAATGTGCTTTATTGTGTAGTAGGCATTTTGCTCATAATGTACGTGTGTTTTCCTTTAATTCCTCAGTAAAACTTTCTGAAGATTGTTGTGTTGCTGTTATTCTCGTTTTACAGGTGAGAGAACTGAGTCTTGAGAGAGGCAGAGTACTCGCTCAGGGTCAGAGTTGGAACTAGTGCCGTCTTGTTCTGGAATCTGGTTCTTCAGGGAGACGGAGGGAGGGTCAGAGTGGGCAGTAGACTGGCTATCTGCCTTGTTGCCTCCCTCTTTCCTCAAGGATTACAGACTTCTTTTGAACATTAGAGGTGGGGGTAAATAGGTTTTCTTTATGAAAAGATGAAGCACTTAACTAGTGGGAAGCCCTGAAGCCAAGTCCTCTTGAGACAGTGGAATAGCTTATGAGGGACTCTGGATTGAAAGGAGCTGAACTGAGTAAAATCTTAGTGATGACACTGGCTTGCATTAAAATCCCTAATTCATACATGTCTACTTTGAGGAAAGAATGTAAAGTGTGGGTATTGGACTCAGATTGACTTTTTGTACACACAGTTAGACTTAAAAAAAAATCAGTTTACCCTCCCCTACATAAACAAATTTTAGTGAGGTATAGTTTTTATATTGTAACAGCTATATTTAAATATATTTAAACAGGCTATTGGAGGGTAGTGATCTGTGTCTGGAGATTTCTTTGAATGGCTTAGTATCCCAAATCCAGCACAGGGCAAGAAGGAGGAAAACATTTATTCACTACCCAGTGTGCACAAAAACAATTACGTTGCTTAGTGAGTATTAGTCAAGTACAGTTTGATCGTAAGTGAGCAGTGATGCAGGACAGATGGTTTATGTCACTTTCATAATTAAAGGATAAATGTCCTTTGTTTTATGTAACATGTACCTTCCCAGAAGTTTGGTTGTCGGTCATTTAGTGTCTTAATTTACTCGCTTGTGGTTTGTTGAATTAGTCTTAAAACAGTTGATAGTTCTATCCCTTTCCAGTTACTTTTGGCTCGTTAGGTAGTATGTGTACTTTAAGGTCTCCATTCTATTCATTCTTCACTTTTTTTTTTTCCTGCTTTTTCTCCCCAAATCCCCCCAGTACATAGTTGTATATTTTAGTTGTGGGTCCTTCTAGTTGTGGCACGTTGGACACCACCTCAGCGTGGCCTGATGAGCGGTGCCATGTCCGCACCAGGATCTGAACTGGCGAAACCCTGGGCCACAGGAGTGGAGCGTGTGAACTTGACCACTCGGCCACGGGGCCGGCCCCTAATTTTGACCATATTTGTGGGCTCCTCTTGCTGACTTCACATTGGCTCTGTCTCAGAACACTAATCTGCGTTTGTGATTAAATTTGATAAAATTTCAAGATGCTGTAAATTACAGTGTCACTTTTTTCTTCCTTAATTTTGCCTTATCTCTGTAGTATTGGCTTAAAAAATACTATGAAACAGCATGGATTTAATACTTTTTGGATAATTTATGTTAAGAATTCGGTGATCTCAGTATTACATAAAATCATACATATCATAATGAGGGAGTGTGTTTTCTAGCATGAAAACTATGACCTGTAGTAAATGAAGTCAAGTTAAATGCCTTTATATGCCTAGTTTTTCTATACTTTTCTCTGAATGTTTGCCCTAAGAATGTTTAGAGGAGCAAGAATCAGTATGATACTTGTAACAAATAATTTTCCTGTAATTCATTTACAGTTTGTGGAAAGGGATGTTGTGAGTTGTGTGTTTTTGTGAGAAAAGCAGCCTCTTTAGGGAGGAGAGGAGCAGTGGTGTTAGGCTGCCCTCGTGTCCTGCTCTTTGCTTTTTGGAAACAGCCTGGTAGTTGGTGTGAAAACCTTTGAAACTTTATAAATGTTGACCATTCAGTGGTACTTGGCCATCAAATAGTATTGTGACTTTTGTACAAAATGTGGAATTTAGCTGATACTTATTAAGTATCTACTGTATGACTGGACGTGCCCCTGAATGATACTGACTTAATCCTGAGTTTAGATTGAAGACCATGTTAAAAATCCATGAGATTTGGAGTATTCTGGGTAAAGTTCTTTGTTATATGCCGTGTAATAATTAGTGAAAAAACTAAGCATAATTCTGTGTTCCAGGACTTAAAACTGCTTACTACTGTGTATATTTAGGAACAAGTTTTTATAGAGAAAATCCCAAATTTAGCACTGTCACAGTAAAAATAGAAAGGTGGTAAGAAAGATTGATGGCATCTATACTCCTGTTTTTTTAGGCCTTAGACCTCAAAGTGCCCCCTTTGGGAGAGAAAGAACACGAACGGTAAGCAAGAGAATAGAATGACTTTATTGGCCACTAAATTTTGCTGTGCCCCTTGGGTCAGAGCACTCAACTGTATCAGACCAATATCGTTTGCCTAATTACTGCTCACCACCTGTTTTGGTTAGAAGATCAGTGCTGTGGAATTCCTTTGTGTTAAGGTTTTAGGACTACGTAAGATCTGGGAGAGGTTTTTCTTTCCCAGGGTTTTTGGTCCTTGAGGTGCTTCTCCTGGCTTTAATGGGCTTCCTAGAGAAATGGTCAGATCTTCATGAGTGAATTCCCCTCCTAAACTATTTACCCTTCAGTTTGGCCCTTTGAGTGTAAGGATCTAGTCACAGTACTTGGATTGGTTGCTTAGGGACATATTTAAAAATTAAAGACTGATTAAAGATTGACCCTTGTTACTAGTTGAACAGATTTCTTGTTATAAAAAACACACCTTAGAGGCCAGCCCTGTGGCTGAGTGGTTACGTTCATGTCCCTCGCTTCTGTGGCCCAGGGTTTTGCTAGTTCACATCCTGGGCACGGACCTAGCACCAGCCATCAGGCCACGCTGAGGCAGCGTTCCACATGCCTCAACTAGAAGGACCACCCTAAAAGATACAACTATATACTTGGGGGCTTTGGGGAGAAGAAGAAAAAATGAAAATAAAAAAATAAAATCTTAAAAAAACAAACACAATAAAACCCCACACACATCTTAGGGGACAGCCAGTGAGTTGGAGAACTTGGGTAGAGGTGGGAGTTAGGTTGGCTTGTGTTATTACCTTGATGTAGAGTGGATGTGTT